TTAGCATTGGGGAAAAAAAATAGTTCCAAGAATTTAACACTGAAAGTGATAAGTACATCAAAGTTACTTTCTAAACACAGGGAATTTCAAGAGAAGTTACCATTGCTGACATGATTTATTAAAAAAATTTTTTTTCGGTAGTGGAGTCTGAATCCACTTACTAGGCAAGTGCCCTACCATTTAAGTTATACCCCTAACAACCTTTTTCATTTTGTTTTTGAGATAGGCCTCACTAATTTTGCCCAAGTTGGCTTCCAACTCTAGATCCTCCTGCCCTTGCCTCCCAAGTAGCTTAGTGTGGCACACTTTAAGCTTTTTTAAAAGTAGTACAATAAATAGTAAATTCATAACCACTTATTATAATTCTTAAGTATAATGTACCGTGCATAACTGGACATGCTATTCTTTTATGACTGGAAATGCAGGTTTGTTTCTACCAGTACCATCACAAACACCTGAGTAATGTGCTGTGCTATGACAACTTTGATAACACTAGGTTTCCATCTCCCTTACAATCTTACAGGATCACAGTTAAATATTCTGTCCATTGTTAACTAAAATGTCATTGTGTAACACATGCATTTTTAAATGTAACTGATGTTAATGCCTCACACTAGCTCTATTTGCTTTCTTGGGTAATGCTCTACCATATAAGCTATACCTCCAGTCTGGATTTTTGCTGGTTATTTTGGAGATAAAGAGTTTCATGAAATTGAGCTACCTTAGATTCACAATCTTTTGGGTTTTAGCTAGGATTAAAGGAGTGAGCTATAATCTCCTGGCCTACCATAGAAACTTTAACTTGATTCTGTAACTTATCTATTGTGCTTACCACTGCAGACCTAGATGTGCTTATTATTGTAATCTGGGTGTGTTTAGTATTTTTAAACTTATAAATACCTTTCTAAACATTCCAGTAGGAAACGTAGATTATTAAGAGTTATGAAAATGGAACTGAATATATATTCCCAAGTAAGCCACAATTTTTCCTATTTCAGTGCAGTTTTTCTAAAATAAAACATCCAGCATGTCCTCCACAATAAGACACAAATGAATGATTATTATAAATCATTTTGAAGATTGAGTAAAAAGATGTGGAATTTGTCTCCATAAGACACCAGTTTCTTCATCAGTAATATAAAGAGACTGAGTGCAGGCTTAATCAGGAAGCATAATTTGAGGGAGTAATCAGGAAACATAATTTGAGGGAGAAATCAGGAAGTAGAGAGTGCTTGGGGTTTACCACTTGTGAAGACATACAATAATGTCCTGATCTGGGTCTAGACCTTAACAACACTTCATTAAGCAGTCACTGGATCCATATTTCTCTCTATGAACCTGGATGAGGTAGCTCTCTTCAGCTAAGGTTAAGAGCAAAAAATGTCAGGAAGATTCAGCTGTGAGTATTAAGTCATCAATACTTCTGGCAACACCCAGTCCTAAAATAGAGGATCTGGTAAGTATACCAAGGCCCATTACTGCTTCTTTGATCACTTTCAGTCCTGTTTCTTTTAACTTTAAAGAACAATCATCTAAATAATCATATAAAACTATGGCAAGTCAGGTACTGGTGGCTCATGCCTATAATCCTAGGTTTCCAGGAGGTTGAGATTTGAGGATCTCAGTTTGAAGCCAGCCAGGGCAGAAATTGTATGTCAAACTCTTATCTCCAATTAATCACCCCCAAACAGGAAGTGTGGGTGTGATTCAAAGTGGTAGGGCAATAGCAATCCCTGAGCTTTTGTGCTCAAGGATATCACCTGAGCCCTGAATTCAAGTGCTATGACCTAAACAAACAAACAAACAAAAAACCTATGGTAAAATATACAAACTCTTTGTTTCCATTTATGTCAAACTAATCTGTATTGATAGAGGACAAAGAGCAGTACCTTAGATAAGTTAACTAGGAGGGGGGATGACAGAGTCTTCCAGGATAGAGATAGTGGTCTTTACCTTGATCTCAAGTATATATGTAAACATTTATTATGCTGTTTGTATGTAATTTTCAGAAGAATTTTAAGAAAGGGGATTCTGTAAAATGATGTCATTATTTTTAAGATAACTAATGCTTAATGCTTGACATTGCAAGCTTTACTTAAAAAGCTAAGTTCGACAATGCTTTTGTAATTTTGGAGAACAAAATTATTTTAACTGTACTCATGGCCATTTGAACGTCTAAAATAAGAGACAAAATTATAAGCAAGATATATAACCAATGGACAAATACTTGCAGATATATAACCAATGGACAAATACTTGCAAAACTACCATCTAAAATTAAAAAAATGGAGATTTAGATAAATCAAGGGTTCGTGTAAAGCATATTTATAAAGACTAAGTATAGTGCTGCCACCTAGTAGGCAAAGCTGATTATGACCAATTTCAGCTTTGAAAGGTCATAAATATATTATACAAAATATAGATAAGGCAAAATATATCTTTTCTGCCAATATTCTACCAAAATAAAGCTTAAATACTACCTGTCAGTTTGGACAACAGCTAAAAATTCAAACATTTATATTCCAAAATAGCTACTAAGAGCTCAAACAATAGTAATAATCTTGAGAAGTTCTGAGGTTCCTTTACATCAATCCCATCTCATTTTAAATAAAATTTTTGTACATGATCCACAACTATGAACTTATATACATATTATATATATATGTATATGTATAAATACATTCTCTAAGAGAAAGATGGAAATTTTCCAGTTGTACCTCTAGTTGCTTTTCTCCAAAATCTATTTGTAGGCTCGGTGAACTCTAAATATAGCAAGTGCTGAATAAAATAGAGAAGTACATGGTGTGCTAGATTTTGGGTAGAGGTTTTAAGTGTACTTAAGAATTTCTCTCCTTAATGAGGTCTGAGTATCTAGAAGCCAATAGGTGAGGGGTAGTCCTAAGTTTTCTAACCTCTAACAGAAGAAGTTTTTGCTTAAACTTCACTCCTTCAATTCTTCTGATATATTTAGGACAATACCTTATAGAGGCTCAGTCAAAAAAGGAGCAAATTGGCTAGGGATATGGCTTAGTGGTAGAGTGCTTACCTAGCATGCATGAAGCCCTGGGTTTGATTCCTCAGTACCAGATACACAGAAAAAGCTGGAAGCAGTGCTGCTGTGGCTCAAGTGGTAGAGTGCTAGCCTTGAGTAAAAAGAAGCTCAGGAACAGTGCCCAGACCCTGAGTTCAAGCCCCAGGACTGGCAAAACAAAAACAAAAACAAAAAAAACAAAAAAAGAAAAAACCCTTACACCATTAACCAATACTTTAAGGACAAAGAGACAGAGTAAAGACCAGAGAGTATATCACCACTGAGAAATGCAGACCACTAAATATTCAATGGTCACAAGAGGAGATAGTGACAGTATCTCATGCTCATACCACTTTCCCCAGCAGTAAATACAAAACACTATCATTTAACTACATTGACCACTCTCAACTAGAGACTTCAAGTCTAAGCACAAATGCAAGTATTATAAGACCATTGAGCATAATTCAGTAATTAAAGAGATGCTTATTATCACCTTGTCATTCCTGCCTGGTACACAGATGCTGAGACACATTAAAACAGTGCCCAATACTTACAAAATAACAGTAGAGTAAAAGAAGCTAGTAAGATCATGCAGTCAAAAACAACTGATATATATATATATATATATATATATATATATATATATGAAAATGATATAGTCTTCTCTATAAACGAATTATAAAATCTGGAGCAGAGACAGTATAGTACAACTGGTATGATGAAACAGTGTCAGGCACTGAACCAAGGAATTTATAGACACTGCAAACACCTACCCAGCAGGTAGAAGTAGTTCCTAAATCCAATTTGTTTTTAATTATCTATTGTGTAGAACAATCATACTTCTAGAATTCAACCTCATTATCTGTATTGACCAGAGTGGTACTGACAAAGTATATCCCATACAATAAACCAAAACCAGTGATGTGTTTCTCAATAGGTTTTATGATCAAGTTGGTGGGAGGAAATAAATCCACTGCATACTGCCCTTAGAGATTGACCATGAACTTTAGTATATAAAGCCTCTGAGAAGTGCTGAAATAAAACATTTTTGTTTTTTAAATATATCTCTTGCAAACCAATGAACTACTAAACTACCTTCTCCTCTAGTAAATACCAATATTGCAAAACACACATTGTAGTTCCTCAAAAACTTAAAGACAAAATTATTACATGGCATACCAAGTCCATTTCTGGACATATACTCAAAAGGCAACAATTATGAACAGATACTTGTACATTCATGTTCACAGCAACATCAATCAAAATTGTTAAAAGGAGCAATCCAAGTATCTACCAGCAAATAAATGGATTAAAAAATACAGCATGCACAAATAATTATTATTAAAAATCAGTCTTCCAAAGGAAACAAATTCTTATAATTTTTGCAACACAGATAACTCTTGAAAACAATGCCAAGTGAAACATGCTGGAGGCAAAAGGACAAATATAGCATGATTCCACTTAAATGAGGTACTTAGTCAATTGAAAAAGATAAGTGTAGGAGAAGGGAGGGAAGAGTTTGGGATAAAAATGTTCTCAAGGGCTGGGAAGGTACCTCAATGGTAGAGCACTTGCTTTGCATGCATGAGGCCCTGGGTTCTATTCCTCAGCACCACATAAGGAAAAAGAAAAAAGCTGGAAGTGGTGCTGTGACTCAAGTGGTAGAGCGCTAGCCTTGAGCTGAAGAGCTGAGGGACAGTGCCAGGCCCAGAGTTCAGGCCCCACGACCGGACCCCCCCCCCAAAAAAAAAAAAAGTTCTCAAGATAAATAGTTACTGGATAAACAATAAAGTGAACCTACTAAATTGGTTAAAATGACAACTTTCATGTCATTTTAAGTATATTTTAAGATAAATTTAAAAAATTATATTTACTTTGTGAAATACTAGGTTCATTTTCTCTTCATTCTAAGAGTTGTTTTTTTTTTTATTATGAAATCACTAAACCTAGCCAATAAAAATGATCTTACCTCTGCCACACAACAAATTGAACCTAAGGCTTCCCCACGAAAACCATAAGTTGTCAGGTTTTCCAGATCTTCATGACTGTTTATCTTTGAAGTGTAGTACTTCACTGCCATTACAGGTGTATCAACAGCCTTGATACCCTCACCATTGTCTCTCACCTCTATTTTATCAAATCCATAGTTCTCCTATAAAAAAGTTAAAAAACATTTTTAATACATAAAAATATTAAACAATCACATTTAGAAACAAACACAAGTAAAACAACTTTATCATTCACTATCTTTTCTATAAGGGTAACAATATATCATACTATGGTACAATGAACAAGTCTCTTACTTGTTCACTCAAATACAACTATAAAATACAAAGGTCTGAGTGAACACCAAAAAACCTACCTACTCAGGAAGCTGAGATCTGAGAATTATGGTTTAAAGTTAGTGGTGGCAGAAAAGTCTGACTTTTTCCAATTAATCAGTAAATGTTAGAAGTGAAGGTGTGACTAAAATGGTAGAATGCTAGCCTTGAGCAAAAACGCCAAACCCTAATACCAGTACACACACACACACAAAAGGGTCTGATCTATGATGGGCCTTTTAATTGTTTCTTTGTCATGAATGTATGTATTTTTGCTGGTACCAGGGTGTTAAATCAGAGCCTTGAGCTCTTCAGCTTTGCTTCATCAGATCTTTCACTCTAGTTGAGAAAAATCTCTTATTTGCCATTTTGCTGGCAGACTGGAGATGGAAGTCTCTTAAGACTTTTCTGCTGGGGCTGGCTTCAAACCATGATCCTTCAAGTCTCATTTTCCTGAGTAAGAACACAGGCATGAGCCACTAGTGCCCAAATATCATGAGTACTTATGATAATTAATGTTAAAACATAATACACATAAAGTTTAACATATAATAAATATTATATATTGTATAAATAGCCCCCCCCATAAGAAATAAGACAAAATACAATCCCATCGGGCTCTGGTGGCTCATCATAGCTGCTCAAGAGACTAAGATTTGAGGATTGAGTTTCAAAGCAACCCCAGGTAGGAAAATCTAAGGAGACTCATAACATCCAACTCACCAGCAATAAGCTCAAAGTGGAGGTGTAATTCAAGTGGTAGAGCACCACCTGAATGCCCAGGCCCTGAGTTTGAGCTCAAATCCCAGCACAAAAACATTAAATAAATAAAAACACCATAACCAGCAACATACCATGTTCTCTCTACCGGAAGTGTAGCAATTATCTATATACAACTATAATCTTAAGACTTTCTCCTCTGTTGCTCTCATAAAATTTTTTAAAAATATTCCTCAATTTTTTTCTGAAAAATCACCAACAGGACTCTGATGAGTAAACACATTTCATTTGGCAATCTAAGTAAGTTTTTTAATTGAAAATTAAGAAAATAAACTAAGTTCATACCTTAGCCCTATACTACTAAATTGTACAGACATAATAAAAACAATTTAAATTCCAACAACGATCTTCTTTTCTATCAATGTCATATTCACCATATCTATACTTGGTAGTTGATGTTACCTTAAGCTTGACTATAAAAAGATTAATGTGTATGGCCATATTAAAAAGGGAAAAAATTCTTACTACAATTACAGTGACTCCATATATTACAAAATAATATCACATCTTAATAACCTAAAATTATACAATACCTCATATCAATATCTTGTAAAAAGCTTTATACATGTAAGATTTGGTCCCTCAGATTTCTCTCAACCCAAAATTTAAGTTCACATTCTGGAACCATCATGTTTGTTGTATTTTATAGAGAAAAAATTAACTAAAATAGACCAATCTTACACTAGAAATAAAAACTTCAAAAATGTAAGGTAAGAACACAAAGATTCATTTAAATGTTTCAAATAGTAAGTTTAATTCATTCAGTAAAAAAAAAAAAATCAGAGCCAACTAGGTCTTATGTAGAGCAGTCTAGCTGTCTAAAATTCTACATAGTCAATACTTCCAAATACTTCCCAAGATCAAGACATGAAAATAATTAAGTTATACTAATATATGTGTGTGCACACGCGCATGCGTGCGCACGAGCGCGCGTGCGCGCACACACACACACACACACACACACGTGCGCGAGCCCCAATCTTGTGGCTTGAAATAGCCTGGGCACTGTACTTGAGCATTTTTGCTCAAGGCTAGTGCTCTATCACTTGAGCCACAATTGCAAATAAGAGTCTATGGTCTTTCTTGCCATCCTCAATTCTCAGATTTCAGACTCCCAGGATTATAGGTGTGGGCCACCAGTATACAGCTGCTAACTTAAGTTCTGTTTATTTTTTGTCAGGCTTGAATTCAGGGCCTGGGTCTGGTCCTGGGGCTCTTCTGCTCAAGGCTATTGCTCTACCACTAGGAGCCATAACACCACTAAGACCTGACAGTTAACAGTGTCTTTTATGTATGTTTATCTGATTTGGGAAGGGGAACAACAAAATGATGAGACAAAGGACAAACGGTGAACCAATTTAACAGTGATATTCACAAGACAATATGTTAGAAATAAACTTTACAATTTTGGGGTGGGGGTTAGATGTTGGGGGAAAGTGGGGAAAAAACGAGGAAAGGGGAAACAATGATCAACAAGAAATATACTCACTACCTTACGCATGTACTGTAACCCCTCTGTATATCACCTTGACAATAAAATTAAATTTTTAAAAAAGGACTTTCTTGCTCAGGGTGGCTTTGAACTGCAATCCTCAGGATTTCTAGAATTACAAACATGAGCCACCAGTGCCCAGCTCTTAATTTTATAGGTCAACTGTCTTAGTAACATCATTCTTAAAAAAACAAATATTTTTCTTCTGGACATTTAAGAACAAGATATACATTTTAAGAAATAAGCCAAGAAATAAGAAATATAGGTCTCATGTTTTCCCTTATTTATAATAAATAGTATATATCTAGAATAATCCTAGCAAATGAGTAGAATAGCTCAATAAATATATTGGTATAACCATATAAGATTATGATAAGCAAAATTAACTCCAAGACACAGACACAAGAGGTTTTTCTTTGTTGTTGTTGTTCTTAATGTACTATGTGATTTCTTTTTTCTTTTGTGATTTTTTTCCCCCTGTGGATTATCCCCTGTTGTCACTACATTTGATTCTGGCTGGGTATTGTATATATGTTTATCTGAATTAGGGAAGGGAAGGGGAACAAAAAAATGGTGAGACAAAGGACAAAAGGGGAACCAAAGCAACAGTGATACTCACAAGAGAATATGTTAAATGATCTGTACAACTTGGGAGGGGATTGGGGAGAAGGGAAAGTGGGAGAAAAATGAGACTGGGGGTACAAAGTTCGACAAGAAATGTATTTTTACCTTGCTTATGTAACTGTAACCCCTATGTACATCACCTTACAATAAAATTTAAATTAAAAAAACACATGATAAAATGCTTTTACCTTACTTATGTAACTGTAACCCCTATATACATCACCTTACAATAAAATTTAAATAAAAAAAACACATGATAAAATGTTCAACAACATCCTTAGCCATTAGTGAAATACATAGAAAAACACTGATATTCAATCTCACTCAAGTCAGAGTGGCCATCAATAAAAATAAAAAAAAAACAGCAACAAAAAAATAAACCAAATAAATAAGTAAATGAATAAGTGATAACAATATGTTTTCTATAGAATTCTTACAATATAATAATATATAACAATATATGTGTAATCTTATTTAGTTATTTATTTTCTGGTTAACCTTTTGTTGTTTAAGATTTCTTTATAAGGATATGTAGGAAGTACGAGGTGAGATTTCATTGTAATACATACATACATATATCTTGAGATTAACTCACCCCTTTATCTCTTTACCATGCTCTTCTACTTCTTAAAACCATTTCCATAGGCTTTATTGTTTTATCTTCACATATGTATATATAGATCTCTATACCCTGTCTCCATTCTCCCACTGATACCTGTCCCCCAACATAGCTTTCCTATTAGAACCCTATTTAATTATTATTAATTATACTCTAATCAGACTGATATTATATGACATGCCTAAGAAAAATAAGGTGTTTTGGGTTAGCTTAATAAAATTCACATTTATTAAAGTGTATTTAATTTAAAAGTACAAATCAGATTTTAACTACTGCAGAAGTATAGTTGTAAGTGTGTTCCTTGGTATAGCAGCATCAGCATTAACTAACAACTTGGTAGAAATGCAAATTCTCAAGCCCTACTTTATAATTGGAAGCTTTAGGAGTGGAGCCTGGTAACTATCCAACAAACGTCTTAGAGAAAAGATTTTAAATGGGTTTTAGAGTCAGAAAGACCATATTAAAATTTCAGCTCTACATTTACTAATTAAGGGACTTCAAATATGTTTTCTCAGATTACTATAAAATAGGTAAAGTAATAGTTAGTATACAATTTTCCTAACAAATGTCTAGAGTCAGATGCCTAGGACTCATGTCTATGATACTAGTTACTTAGGAGGCTGAGATTCAAAGGGCCAAGAATCAAGGCCACCCCTGGCAGAAAAGTTTGCTAGACTTCATTTCCAAAATAATCAGGAAAAAAGGCTAGAGGTGGCTCAAGTGGAAGAGCGTCAGCAGAACAAGCAAACTGAGTGGGCATGAGGCCCTGACTTCAAATTCCAATACCACAAGAAAAATAAAAGTGGCTGGGATTTTTTTTAACAGCCATCTCACAAAAGATAAGAACGGATCAGTTCCTCTTCTATATTCTATCAGTATTCTTTGTAGTGGCCAGTACTAAAAATATCACAAACATTTGATAATTAGGAGAATGTTTTTAAATATCTCTTTAAGCTGGATGCCTGTGGCTCATGACTGTAATCCTACCTACTCGGGAGGCTGAGATCTGAGGATCAGGGTTCAAAGCCAGCCGGGGCAAAAACATCCCCATGAGACTCTTATCTCCAATTAACCACTCAAAAACCGTGAGTGGTGCTGTGCTCAAGTGGAAGAGCACTCACTAGCCTTGAGCACAAAACGGCTCAGTGACAGTGCCCAGGCCCTGAGTTCAAGCCCCACAACCTATTAAATAAATAAATAAATAAATAATAAAAATGTATCTTTACATAATCAATCAAACTTTTTAAATGTGTTAGTTTGTACTAGGGATTGGATATGTAAGGGACACATGAAAATAAATATAGTATTTGCTTCTATAAGACTGCAATTTCTGAAGGATATGAATATTCTAATCAGCTGCAATAAATCATGAATACTGTATAAGCCATACAAATTCATTGATTTAATATCTATCACTTATATGAAAACTTGATCAGGGCATCAGTGGCTTATATCTGAAATTCTAGCTACTCAGGGAGCACTGAAGTTCAATGAGATTTCCATGTCAATTAATAGGTGGGTGTGGTGATACTCATCTATCATCTTAGTTATGTGAAAAGCTGAAATCAGGAGGATCAAGGTTCCAGGCCTTCCTAGGTAAAGAAGTTGACCTAATCAACAGAAAAAGTTGGATGTGTTGGTATGTTCCAGTTATCCTACTTGTGGCAGGAAGCTTAAGTAGGAATCCAGGCTGCCCTGAACAAAAAACAAGACCCTAGCTCAAAAATAACAAGAACAAAAAGGGCTCAAGTGGTAGAGGGCCTGCCTAGCAAGTGCAAAGCCTGAGTTCAAAGTTCAGTACTGTCAAGAAAAGAAAACAACAATAGCCGGGCGCTGGTGGCTCATGCCTGTAATCCTAGCTACTCAGGAGGCTGAGATCTGAGGATCGCGGTTCAAAGCCAGCCTGGGTAAGAGAGACCGTGAGACTCCTATCTCCAATAAACCATCAGAAAACCGGAAGTGGCGCTGTAGCTCAAGTGGTAGAGCGCTTGCCTTGAGCTGAAGAGCTGAGGGAC